GGGGACAGATGTCCAAAAGAGTTTAAACCGGGTCCTTTGGATATCGGTTGGGTCAGCAGAGAAGGTGTTCGTGTTCCACTTTCAATGGTAAGGTCCTTGCTTTGTTCTTGGTAAGTCAACTTGGAGTCATTGGGATTATTAGGTAAGATTGATTGCTCACGATAACTCGAGTATTGTTGATCTTGTGGGGTCACAGGTGTATGATTATTATTGTCCGAGTTAAAATTGAGGGACGTCATCTTAGAGATGAGTATGGAGGGGTGTGCACCCGGCGACTGTAGGATTGAAGTCAAAGGAGGAAGACACTGCCCTTTCTTGTTGTTATCCGAAATCCTGGCATTTTAAAGCGGAATGTATTTTTTAGGACAAAAAAAAAAAAAAAAGACATCATGTACGCTTGTCACAAATCGAAGAACTCACGGTGGTGACGGCAAACCAGCATTAGGCGGATTCAGGGAAAATCTCTCGAGGGGAGGTAAACACATGGAAGGAATGTCCATTTTGTGTACCTGGAAGATGCGTTGAAATTAATTTCCTGTCAATCACCGTAAAAAAAAGTATCAAGTTTCAAAGAGTACATACCATTCTATAAAATTTGTGAGTTCTTCGAGAACAGTTACAAAAAGGGAGGAAAAAAAAAAACTCTAATATCAAATTTTTTTTATGCAATTAATCTCAGCGAACCGCCGTTGTCAAGGTGAATGAGGGCGATTGTATTTATATGTTCTTATTAAAGAGGAAGCTCGACGTGGAATGCGAAAAATCCAAGAAATAAGATTCCACAAATTTTGCAGCGCATAACATGAGAAAGAACTGTAAGTAAGTCTCCTCAAGTTCTACTCCAAGAAAACGAAATTTCCTGTCTAGAAGAAATTGCGTATGAAAAGAAAAAGGACAAGTACTTTTTGTCGAGGGATGGAGTTTTGTGAAAGGAACAAAAGGTGTATTTATAGGTTACTATTGTTTTAAATCGGAGATTAAAAAAATTACAAAAATGAAGCAATTATGTGTCCGGAAATAGTGTATACGTAAATGTCTGTGGTGTCACTGGGTTTGTGTGCAAGAAATCTAACTTTTATTTTTATTTATCACAGATCAAACAGAAAGGTTAATTAATACACACATTCGTCGCAGTCGACTTATTGAGAGAGATATTTCGTGATTCGCGTTAAAATCAATCGGGTGTGCTCAAGCGAAAGATGTGTCGATGATGCCTTGTGATCCAAGGTCACTATGAAACCATCGAGTGAGAAGGTTGTTTTTGTTCGAATAATATTTTTGATGTCGAGCCGTATATATATACACATACTCATATATATGTATACACATACATATACATAAATACAGTATGTCTGCAATATATAATATATTCGTGAGTCGTGAGGGTGTGTACAATTTCGTATTATATTCACCTTTCTTAAACAAGATGTTTATTATTGATACACTAAGTGATCATTGAAATCTGCAACCTTAATATAAAAAAATAGATTACTGATAAACTATAATAAGGAAAGCAAATTTTATCATAAAGTGGGAGTTGTACTGTATGTGTGTGATATTGTTAAAAAGTGAATGTGAGACCAATCATGGATCAACAAGCGATTCTGTGAGATCAAATAATTGATTTTTTAGATATTTTAGATTGAGTTTTGGCTGTACATGCAAAGGAAATCATTTGTGCCACTTTTTTTTTTTTTTTTTTTTTTGAAATATATTAAATTTATTTTATCTTATTCTATTTTTCCTCAAGTCCCGATTAATTAATTAATTTATTATGTCAACTGAACGCATCTAATGGTCGATTACGTGCGTATTTGATGTAAATATTTATATTAATCATAATTTGGTGAGATTGCGTTTGGGTGGCAGTGAAATGTGGCAGTTAGGTGCTTAGCACCTAACGAAACTGTTGACAGATGGATGATGGGACATTGAATTTAGATAATGATGATCGAGGGATGTTTGTTGAGATATAAAGGATTGAGATGTGAAGCGTGAGAAAAGGGCCTCTCTCGGGGAAGGAACACGGCAATCACCGCATACAGAATTTTGAATTACATACATACATTCTATGATCACCACAAGGGTGAGAAAAACCGTTGGGCACTATCGACATCACATAGTACTCGTCGTTTTCGAAAGCGTCAAATGGAATAGTACCACTGATCAGCGAGGTCGGTGATTGAGTGAGTTTGCAACATCACAAAATCTTCGAAGAAAACGTCAAGAGAATAAGAATATGCGGAGCCGACCCACCGTGATTCAACTAGATCGCCGTTCCGTTGACTGCTTCCCGGCCTACATGTGTAATGTGGTATATGCATGATAGGACGTGTGAAATGCTTTCTCCGACGAGCATATTTCATAGAGTGACCGACCACGCGAGAAAGATCAACAGCAAACCTATTGTTGATATCTATGTTGGAATAAACATTCGTGTGACCAATTCGTACCATAAATTCAGATTTCACCATAAATCTTGTGCTCACGCTGCGTGTTGGCCACGAGTTATCATTTTTTATTATTAATTTTCACGTTTGTGTGCGATTACGCATGCGATGTCAACCAGATCAACCAGATAGAGGGTGAATTGATTTCCTTGGTGCTTGTTTAATTGCCATTTCACAAAAACCTTTAATTTATGCACTTCATAACCTTTGAAAACAAGATATTTGAAATTTATTATTATTTTTTTTTTCAGGAGTTTTTCCCATCAACTTGTCCGTGCGTACTTTTCAAGTGCAACAAATATTTCGTTGAAAAAAAGGAGACATATCCAAGACCCCCCCCAACGACTCTGATGTTTTTCGTGTACGTCAATCCTCGAATACTTGCATGAGATTTACAATGCATTATTGGCCTCCGGTGCCGATTACGGAAATAGCGTTTAGGACCAACTTTGAAAATGAGAAATGATGGAAGCGTTAAAGGAAGATAACGACCGATGATCGACACCATGTTTTCTTCGGCCCTAACCGGACGCAACGCTCCCTTGTACACATCATCACAAAAAAAACACGCGTAATTTTAAAGAGGACGATCACAAACAATAAATTGGCACGTTTTGACGCTTCCGGAGACGCAAATAATGTCGAACAAAAATCGTCTTATGAATTTTTGACTAATAGATAATGTTAGGTGCTTAGGAAATTCGCATAGGAGAAAGGCTTTGGGTAATGAGATTAATTTGCGACACATGGTAGCAAAAAGCAACAAAAGGACTTCAAAGATTATGCGAGTCATACATAAAAAATCATGCCATTCTTACATCCCGAGTACAACATTGAGTTTACGATGATCCGTCGATCTTATGCTGAATTTAATTAATACGCATGTCTATTTTCTTCTAGTAGGAAAAAAGTTGTGACCGATGTTGGTGATGTGTTTTAACTGTTCCATTCATATTTTTGAGCTGCGATGCATGTTCCAAAGACACGATCAAACAAACCCCGATTCTCTCTTGGTATGTGATCTCGTGCGGCGTACTGATAAGCGTAGCGAACAATTAACAAGTGTCAAATAGGGGGTCATTAAAAAACATTTTTAATTAAATAACAGTAACCACTTATTTATCTTATTCAGATCGTATACAAAAAAACGTTCATTGAGGCATCGATGATCCTGATTACTTTATTAATCGAGTTTCTTGTTTTTTTAATCCAAATAACTATTCGCACATGCATTAACCAAATCACACAAGACGTCGATCTCCATCATCCTTAAGGTACACGATAGGCGGGAAGTTCAGTTTCTTAAAAGATTTTTGATAATACGATTACTAAGGCTGGAATAATAGCGAGCAGTCGATGCGATTTAGTAGTAATTGCAATTGCAAGAAAACATCCCATCGCGACCGTGATCTATTCTCATGTATTCGCCGTCTCTTGATAGGTGGAATCATTGTTTTTTCTTTATTATTATTATTATTATTATTATTATTATTATTATTATTTTAGAAAAAAGAAAATCATTTTTCGCCCTAAAACCTATACAAATGTGATTAATGAGAGAGGCTATTAGGCGCAATGCGTGTTTGTCTACAATTTTTTTTTTCCATAAAAAGTTTCACACCGAATCGCACCAATTGCTCGATAGTGTTATTGGCGTAAAAGGTGTACATCTGAGATGGAGCATTCAAAAATGGAGTTATTGGCACACTTTGTTTGCTACCTTTGTACGTGACAGAACGGTGATAATCACCGATTACATAAGGTGATTGATTTCCAGCGCGTGACGATAGGATTCATTTACGGATGCGCACATTTTGGTAGTAAACAACGAGAGTCATGTGAACCGCACAACATTATTAGCAAAGATAACATTTTCCAATAGTAAATATATGTTGTATATATAGTATATACTGCATGGTACTGTAAATATAGTATGTAAACATAAATAAATGGGAATTCGAATTACAATCTAGCCAAGTCTGGAATGTACCTAATTGAAGGCTAGAGGTGGTCGCCAAATCTAACTGATTTTCAATTTAGCCATCTAATTTTGTAAAATGGCATATTCAATATTTCCTTGGTAATTCTTAAACAGAAAATGTCTTGCCCAATAGATTACTATAAATAATGTGCCCTAATGGGCCGATAAATAAATGACCCAAGTCTCCTTGATCTAGATTCGTAACTTTGTTTACTTTATATTAACTTCCAAATTAGTTATTGAACATCTGTTTACAATTACTTTCCATTGTAGAATATTCAAGATTCACGCAAGATAAAGATATACTGTACATGCAAAGCTTGGTTGTCACCTTGAATGGCTGAGATGTTATTAATGTACAAAGAGGTCAATTGCAATCTTCAGAAAAACCGTTGACCAACAATATTCCATTCGTACTTTACTGTAAGTACGATCTCGATTTTACCGTCAATGTGCCCGGGGTCTGTCCACCATTATTAATTTGCCATACTTTGGTATTTTTTCATTCATTGCTTAATAATGGTTAGTCAGAAATCCAGAGCGTTTGGATACCTTTGTTAAAATTAAAAATGCGAAACGAAACCTTTGGTGTCTCGGACGATGGTAGGCAACACAAAAGAGCCTCATGTGGAGAGCGATGCGTATGATCATCGATCATCCATCTGCTCTTCCCTTCGCAACGCATTCAATCAGATATGAAATGTCGTGTAACATTGGTCGCCCATGATATATCCCCAACCTTCTTGGTTTGGGAAGAGGGGACCGTTTTATCGTCGACATTATTCCACGTATACGACTTTTCTATCTATCCATTTGCTCATCTATTTACAATATTTATCCACTCATATGATGTATGCCGTGGTTGTGTGAAAAAAAACGCAAGATTTCCACCCGATCGTTGACCTTGAGAGCGAACAGTTTTTGTCTCGATAACAATGGCAATTATGATAGCGCCTTCTCATTCTCACAATCACATGATGACGATAAAGTCCATAATCTCGGAAATCCTTACACGGAGGGAAGACATTCTAGAATTGCCGTATCACCGCGAGACATGAAAAAAGAAGCAAAAATCACCGAGAAAGTATTATTAATGCAAGAAAATTAATTAAACGACATACAATTCCACAAATAGTTTTCATGTTCTTAAACCTCCATCATCAGTACGATGTGAGCACCAAAGTCACGCGCATTCAAGCATGATATATGCGCATGTACTTTTGCTGCATCCTTGCTGGAACACAGACGGCTCATCCTTTATTATTATTATTATTATTATTATTATTATTATATTATTAATTATCGATGTTTGTTCGCGAGGAGATCGCATGATCATCGGTGCCACGAAATGCACGAATTTTTAATTATACACAAATCAGGCCGTGAATTCGAAAACAATGTATGTGGTGGTGATGTTTTTTTTTCGATTGCAACGCAACAAACGTTGATATTATTAAAAATAATTAATGATAAATAATTATATCATAACACAATAACAAAAAGGTTTCCAGTGTACAGTGAGGTTTCATGGTGTTGTGATTTGTTTATTTTGTTGTGCGCATATACGAACTTGTATGAACTTACATGCCAAGAGTTTGCGGTCGATGAAGAAAAATTAATCATTTCAATTATCCAATTAGTAAGACCGATCCACGACCGATATGCATAAAATAACAAAGTATGATTGAAAGGTGGGCAAATTTTGTGCCTGAAGACACATCTCAAATACGTTTATCCATGTGATGCGCATTTAGGAAGAACAACGGATGAAGGTCATACTCATGTACTACATGTTGTTTTTGTTTTTTACCTTTTGACCTCATTTACTATTCACGCGTGTAAATACGCACATACTGTATTCACATATCCGAGAAAAAAAATGGAGATCGCTAGTATTTCAAAAAGTAGGTTGATGCATTTGCGATCCGATGGATGAGTTCTTTATTTTTGCTTTTAAATTAGTCGTTAATCAAAAAGTAGGTTGATGCATTTGCGATCCGATGGATGAGTTCTTTATTTTTGCTTTTAAATTAGTCGTTAAATTCTCACAAGTAAATTTGAGCACGCAGAAGGAACACGCCGCTGATATACTAACAGCCAGACGTACAGTAGTAGGGGCATCTTTCGTGTTAATGAGGATTCGGGTCCCCTTTTTATCTAAAGTAAAAAAAATGCTGATAATGATCGAATGAGATAAAATAACACTTACAAGAAAAACATTAATGTCATCATCGTCCTGGTGTTTGCTGTGAAGATCTGTACTTACTTGTAGTTTGGAGGACTGGTT